CCAGGGCGACTCGCAGCCTGGCTTCACTGGGAGGCGCAGCTGCCTTCTTTCTGAGTCAGAGGTGACGTTGGTCGACTCTAAAGCCTGATTTCCTTCTCCTCTGGCCTGATTTCTCTGTGACCCACAAACCTTTGACCGTCTGGCGTTATTCCCGATTTCTTCTCTCTGGCGTGGTGCCTGCTTCTGCTATGGTCTTGCTTCAGAAGGATCCACAGCCTGGCTTCCTGTGCCTTGCAGCGTGCCTGTCGTGTGGCCCACTGCCGATTTTCCTTCAGCCTCTGTCAACTTTCATTCTGGCCTGTGACTCGTGCAAACTGACCCCCCGGTAGAGCGTTCAGATGGAGTTTTCAGGTGTCACCATGGCTCCAGCTTAGTTCTGACCAGCTCCTACTGGACCGTTAATTCGCTAATTCCATGATCTCCGAGACCAGGTTTAGCCAAGGAAAACCCACCTCTGTTTTCAGTGCTGCTGAAACAGGGCTCTAGTGTTTTCAGAGAACACCCTGCCTCCTAACGCTTAGACATAGAGGGGTTAACAGAAGACAGTCTTCTGATCCAAATTTAGCAAATGGTTGTCTGGCCAGGATTCCAGTGTCTGACACCTTTGAAGGGAGAAGCTGCTTTCCACTGTCCATTCAGGGAGTGACACCCCTGCTGCTACAGCTTTCTCTTGTCAGTTGTTGGGGTCTGAGGCAGAGGCTCTGCCCCTTCCTGTGGCTGTCTCTTGGTGGCACAGAGCACTAGGGGTCCTGGGGCTCAGCCCCAGCGCAGAGGGTCTGTGCCTGAGACACTGTGCCTCAGCATCCTCATCAGTGCCCAGTGTGAAGACTTGCGGCTCTTCAGCTGGGCACAGTGGCTCACTCCTGTAATCCCAGCACATTGGGAGGCCGAGGCCGGAGGACTGCTTGAGCCTAGGAGTTCAAGATCAGCCTGGGCAACATAGTGAGATCTCATCTCTACAAAAAGTCAAAAAAATTAGCTGAGTGAGGTGGCACGTACCTGTGGTCCCAGTTACTCAGGAGGCTGAGTCAGAAGAATCGACTGAGCCCAGGAGGTTGAGGTTGCACTGAGCTGTAATCGTGCTACAGCACTCCAGCCTGGGCAACAGAGTGAGACCCCAGCTCAAAAAAAAAATTTTTTTTTTTGGCCGGGCTCGGTGGCTCAGCCTGTATTCCCAGCGCTTTGGGAGGCCGAGGCGAGAGGATTGCCTGAGCCCGCGGGTTTGAGACCCGCCTGGGCAACTTGGCAAGACCTCATCTCTACAATAAATCAAAAATTAGCCAGGCGTGGTAGCGTGCACCTGTAGTTCCAGCTACTTGAAAGGCTGAGGAGGAAGGATCGCCAGAGTCCAGCAGGTAGAGGCTGCGGTGGCCAGGAGCATGCCACTGCACTCCAGTCTGGGCGACGGAGTGAGACTCCAACTAGAAAAAAAAAATGTTTTTTTTTTAGCTCTTTTCAGAGAGGGATTGAGTTGTACTGGCCAGCGACTCAGGGAGTCAGAAGAGGCTATTTGAAGGAACACAGCTTCCTCATTGTCGTCAACGAACCTCTTGCAAGGGGCTCCTTGAGATGAGTCACTGCTTCTCAACTAGGGTCCCACCCAGCCTGTTGGTAGTGTGCATTTTAGCAGGGCCCAAGACAAAGATTCCCATGGCACCGGGTGATTGAGGTGAAGTAAGGGGCCACCCCATGAGGAAATAAGCCAGCAGCAACCACCCTGTCACTCTAGGTGTGACAGCTTAATGACATCTCCAGCCTACTCTCCCAGCAGATGGGCAGCTGCCATCTTCCTCACCCGGGGAATTCCACTTACCCAACTCTCCTGTCCTTTCTTGGCCCATTTTCATTCGGTGCAGAGGAACTGGGTCAGAACTTTCAAAAGGAACTTTACTGAGACATTAAAGGAAAATTAAAGGAAATGTGGAAGGCCAGAGGCAGAAGAGATGAAAGGCCGGATTTATGCTGCCGGCGTGATAAGTGTCTGGTCCTTGGCTTCCTGGGGGCCTTGGTTCTCCAGGAACACAGACTCCCCACCCCCTGTCCATGGTCTAACCTGTTACTCAGACTGCTTGCTTGAGAGAGCCTGGGACCTGCAATGTTGCTTCTGGCCAGCTTCTCCATCCTTCCGGAATGAGACTTCTGCCTGCCTCTTTTGGACGGGCAGGGACTGGGCTGCCTGCCAGCACTGTAGTGGCTCCAGCCTGGCCACGAAGGCCCTCCCTACTCAGCTCCCATGGGTTCCCTTAGGCTTTACCCCTGCAGCCCCTCCAGGCCCCGGTTCTGACTCTGGCTCTGCTCCACTGGGCCCTTCCCTTTTTCCTGGCATCTTGCTAGAAGTTAAGGCTGGTTCTGTGTTTCGTTCAGCTGGACTCACTCACGTGTCCGACCAGCCCAGCACTGGAGCTGTCTGGACATTGCCCTGAGGCAGCCTCTGCTGACTTGAGACCTTTTGAGTCCCTGTGTCTACTTTTGCCTGACCCAGGGCCAGCGTTAGCAGGCACGCGACCTGTGTCGTCACACGGGGCCCCACGCTCAGAAGGACCCTGTGCTTGGTTTAATACTCTGCTGTCATCCTCTTGAAATTCTTAGTCATTTTTGAACTGGCGCAAAATTTCCGTTTTGCTTCGGGCCCTGCAAATTATTAGGCTGGTTCTGTCCTGACCCTCCCCTTGAACCTTCCAGGACTAAACCTAGGTCTGGAAAGCTCAGCCTCTTTCTGATCCAGTGTCTAGATCAGCTGGAAAGCCCAGCCGCCTTTTAATCCAGTGTCTACAGCAGCTGGTCTGGGACTCTTTGCAAAGCCTGGCCAAGGTAGGGGCCTTGAAGCATCGGCAGATTAGATGATCAGAAAATGAAGATGCTGATAGTCCCTTCCTCCTGAGAGTTGCTGTACTGTCTTCTCCTGAAGGTTGACCCAGACTTCCCTAAAATGAGGGTTGCTTTCCAATCAGAGTGATGCTTGCAAATGACCTAGCACAGCTTGGGCCAGTCAGGTGTCACAGAGAAGCAGGGGAGCGTTGTTCTTTCCATGCCGTGGGGTGAGGCCTGGAGTAGGACAGTGGAATGGGACGGGGGGATGTTAGTCCAGTGTGGAAGGGAGGTACAGCAGGACCAATGGCTGAAGCCAGACGCGAGTAGATTCTGCTTTGCCTTGAACTTGTTGTGTGACCTTGGACTATTAAAAGTTAATCTTTCTAGACATCTTTTTTTTATTTTTTCAATTTGGGATCTTACTCTTTCTCCCAAGCTGGCAATGAGCATGCAGTGGGCATGATCACAGTTCACTGCATCTTCAACCTCCTGGACTCAGGTGATCCTTCTAGCTCAGCCTCCTGAGTCGCAACACCACACTCGTCTAATTTTTTTATTTTTTATTTTTTTGAGTTGGAGTCTCACTCTGTCGCCCAGACTGGAGGGCAGTGGCACGCTCCCGACCACCACCGCCTCGATCTGCTGGGCTCTGGCGATCCTTCCGCCTCAGCCTCCAAGTAGCTGGAACTACAGGCGCGCGCTACCACGCCCGGCTAGTTTTTGATTTAT